ATAATTTTAGTTAAACTAATAATCTTATCTTTGACAAATAACAATAGTTTAATCCCCGATAATTATTGAAAATTTATAGCAAAAATACACAATTATTGAAAACATATAGATAATGAAAAATACAATAATTACAGAAATTACAAAAATACAATAAGTACTAAAAATATATTAACTTAGTCAATAAATAGTATAATCTCAAATAATAGTTTAATCTTTAATAAATATTAGTCAATAACTTATAACAAAAATACAATAAATTAAATTTAAAAATTTCAATAATAGTAATTTAATCTTCAATATTTATAGAAAGTTTTATGTTAAATAACAAAAAAATAAAAATAAATTTATACATAATCATTGATAATTCATTTATCACAAAAGACAATAAATATTAAGTTTAATATATATAATTATATAATAAATACATATTAAGAGTTTAAAATTATTACTAATAAATATTAGTTTTTTTTAAGTTATTTTCTCAAATTATTAATTGATATAAGTGAAATTATATTTTTACAATATTATGTGAAAATATTTAATTATTATTAATTTCAATATTATGTTATAATTATTTTTCTACTTTTTATATATATTTTTAAATTTATTAAATAAATCATTTATTTTAACTATTTAAATATAGTTATGTTGACTATTTTATTATTTAAAATATTTAGTTATTTAAATACTTAAATAATATGTAAAATATTTAAATTTTAAAATATTAATTTTTTATTGAATTTAATTATCCATAAAATCATAATTTATACTATTATAACATAATTTCATTATTAATTTTGTAATATATTAAATTATTATTAATTTCAATATTATGTTATAATTATTTTTCTACTTTGAATAAATTTTTTAAACTTATTACATAATTTCGTTTTTTCTAACCATTTAAAATCTAGTTATGATAAATATTTAGTTATTTTAATTGATAATCCATAAAACATTTAAATTATTTAAATTGATAATCCAGAAAATTATAATTTAAATTGTTAGTACATAATTTCATGATATATTTTGTATAAATATAAGATTATTTTTTGTATTTTTAATAAATATTTTAAATTTATTATATAATTTTGTTAGAATATTTAAATAATTCTTAATTTTTTTAATCCAAACTTTCTTTTGATAGATATAGATAAAAAGTAGGGGAGAGGATAAATAGTAATTAGAGATAATTTAGGATAGAAACTCTATAGTAAATTAGAGATAATTTTGGAGATAAATAGAAATTAGAGATAATTTAGAAGATAAATAGGATTTAGAGATAACTTTGGATAAAGTGGGGGAGGTAGTTTAGGAGTAATGTTAGAAGAAGAGATTATTTAGGTTATTGGGCAAGTGCGTCTCATTGGTTGTTTCAAAAATGACATGGAATAAAAAATAAAAAAAGAGAAAAATTCTTGACCACTTTGTTTTAATATATATATAGATAATATTGAAGTTACTAATAATTTAATATTATTTAATTTCACTTATATCAAGTAATAATTCGATAAAATGACTTTCAAAAAATAATATTTATTAATAATAAATTTACTCTTAATATGTATTTGTTATATAATAATATATACTAAAATTAATATTTATTGTCTTTTGTAATAAATGTATTTTCAATGATTATGTATAAATTTATTATGTTTTGTTATTTAACAAAAAACTTTCAATAATTATTGGAGATTAAATTACTATTATTGAAATTTTTTAAATTTATTTTATTGTATTTTTGTTATAAGTTATTGATTTATATTTATTAGAGATTAAACTATTTATTAACTAAGTTAATATATTTTTAGTACTTATTGTATTTTTCATTATCAATATATCTCAATAATTGTGTATTTTTGCTATAAATTTTCAACAATTACTATAGATTAAACTATTTCTATTTATGAGAGATAAGACTATTAATTTATCTAAGATTATGAGTGTTCATGAGTTTGGTCGGTTCGGTCATAGACTATTTGACAAACCAATTTGACCTGGTCGAGTTGGTCAGCTGAAACCAACTAACATTTTGTAAAAATCAACCCACTCAATTTGTATTGGTTTAGGTCGATTTTTTTGTGTGGCTAGTCTGTTCAAAATATTTAAACTTACAAATTTAATTTAATTTAAAAAAATTACAATGCAATTATTAAAAATAAATTTAAAATTTATATTTATGATATAAAACATAAATATATATAAATTCCCACTTTTTTCATATTAAAAGTTATATTTAAAATATATATATATATGGTTGGTTTGCAAATGGCCAAAGTGAAACTGATCCAACTTGGTCGGTTGGGAAATTTTTTAACCAAAGCTAACCTAAAATACTAGAAAACCGACTAACTTTAGTCAATTTAATTGGGTTGGTCAGTTTCATCAATCTGATAAATAAATGTAACTAAAATTAATTATTGTTATTTTTGTATTATAAAAAAAATTTCCCCATCCCTAACGGGGACCCGACTTCCTCGATCCATTGGTGCTGGGGCTGGGGATTGTTTTGGCGGAGCGGGGGTGGGATGGGGATTGAGGTCCCCGCCCCACCCGACCCCGATTATATATATTAAATATACTATTATATTATTTACATTATATATCAAAACATATTTAAAACATTATTTATAATTTAAAATTTTTATTTAAGAAAATACTATTATCTTTAAACATTTTGGGGATTCAGATCCCCATGGGGAACCCATCCCCGTCGGGGATTAGGGATGGGGTTAATTTCATAATCGGGGTCGGGGATGGGGAATATGACCCCGCCCCGTTGCCATTCCTGCACACCTTATAGTTTTACATATTTACTTAAAACCTACCTTATAGTTTTCATTTTATTAAAACATCCCATATATTTTACAACTTATTTACTTAATCAACATTTCATTAAGGAGTGTTTGTTTTGCCATTAGGCCCGTAAATTTTTATTCCAAAAATACCCTTAACACTTTTTTTTTTGTATAAAAAACAAAATTGACCAAATACAACAAATAGAGTGGTTGCCCATGTCCTATTAAATGTAAAAATTGTATTTTTATTTTTCATTTTCTTTTGATTGAATTTATTTAAATGAACATTAGGGTCAACACTGCCATTTTTCACTGTCATCTAATGGAAGATTGACTAAATCCATTGCAAATTATACGTGTTGTTTTAGTAAAATGCTAACTATAGGGTAGATTTTAGTAAATCCATGAAACTATAAAGGGTATTTTATTATATGACCATTTCTATTATTTAGATTTCTCTTAATAAATTCCGTGCATTGCACGGGTCCAACTAGTAAGGAATGTTCAAATGGAAATTCATCAAATTAAAATTTATAAGTCAAATAAGGGGAAACTTAAGTGGATTTTGGTAGGTAGGAATTGGAATTTACTCCTCGCACCAACCTTACAGCCATATCCCACTATGTATTGGAAACATCTCCCCAATGAATATTAAATACAAATACAAGAGATGTTCCTGATGCATAAACCAAGACATGTTGTGAGGTCAATGTGATGTGGGGAGCAGATACATGCCCACTAGGTAGGGGAATTTGGGAATATATAATTAATTGATAGGTCTGATTGGTTAGAAATTGCAATGTAATGGTAGATTAAAGTTTGGAAGGTATCAACTAAAGCTCAGTTTGGAAGGGGTACAAATATAAAATATATAGAGTGCTAAACCTTGTACTTTGTATATACAAATGCAAATATGTACAGTGCAAATACGTACAAAATATAAGGTTTTGCACTCTATATTTTTGCATTTATACTCCTTACAAACTGAGCCTAAGGAAGGAGTGAGATTGGCTTCAGTCAATGCAAAGTCTGTTTGAACACCGTTCAAACAACCTTTATAGCCTTACATTGGGATTATCTCCGTACTCTTGTTCTTTATTTCATGGGAGATATTCACAGTGCAAGGCTATAATGATTGTTCGAATGAACTTTGCATTGACTGAATCTGATTTCGCACATACACAAATCTGTAGAGTGCAAAACCTTGTATTTTATATTATTTTTCTATGAATTTGTATTATACATATTTATATTTATACTCTTTCCATACCGAGCCTAATGAAAATAGTTAAAACAAAATCTTGGTTCGATCAATGGGGTTTTAAAATGAAAATTGGCAGGTTAATGGAAATGGCTGAAATAGAATCTAGTTGGAATGAAAGGGTAAGCGTGGGTGTTTTAGGGAACTTTTAGTTTTGAGGGTTGCGTTTTTAACGTTCACCTTCAAAGGCAGAAGCATAAATACAAATATACAAAGTAATACAAATATATAGAGTGCAAATATACAAAGCAATACAAACCACAAAGTTTTTCACTCTACATATTTATATTTGTATTCCTTCCAAAATGAGCCTAAGTGCTGATAAAAAATTGGGTCCAATGAACATACCACGAGGAGCTTGCGTTGATCTGATGATTTCGCGCCTTCCATCTTCAAGGGTCAGTGGCAACTGGCAAGCGAAGACGAGGAATTCGAGTCATCCACATTTTCACTCACTACGTTGGGCCAATTATCACACTCCACGTGTCGGATTGACGTGCATCGTCATTTGGGCGCGAAGCGGGTGGAGGCATGCGCCAACCAAAATCATATTAGATAAACGGACAAAGGCTTCACGGGTCACGCTCAGTCGGCCACGATTAATATCGTTGTCTTTCAGGGATACAAAGGACAAAAAAGATTTATAACCGAAACCGATGCAAGATGAAACTGGATTAACCATTTTGGTGGTATTCGGCCTATCGTAGTCTGTAGTTCCCAAAATCAAATGCGTTTTCTGCAAAACCCGATACAATAGACCATCTAAAGGATTCTAATCCAACGGTTATATCTGAATAATTGCAACTCTGGCTCCTATTAGAAGTTCCACGGTGATTCGGCTTCGAGTCAACAGAATCTCTGCCGGGGGATTTGACTCGTGTAACGATTGCTTTTCTTCTTGCGCTACTTCCAAGTATCTTCCCCTTTTTGTACCCACAACACAAACCTTTCCCGTGGTCTCGATAAGAAATTAAAATCGTTCTCGCTTTATTCATCTCTGTCCTTGTTATGTTACTGTTCAAAAACCAGTCTTCGCTTTTTTATTCTAAAGAAAGAGAAAAACAGTTCAGACGGTCGTTGCCCTAGAAGTCTCTGCGAAGCTTCATTTCATAGCCGCCTGTAATTCAGGGAACTCTTTCTTCTTCAACCCAGAATACCTGTTCTTCCTTCTTCCCTGGATGAACAGATAAGCTTGTTTGATGCGCTTCATGTTCCGTTCTGGCTTTCTTTGTCCACTGGTTCTCCTTATCTGTCTGTGAACTGACCCGCCCATTAAGGCCAGGTAAGTCATTTAAAGCTGTGAGAAACGATTGAAAAGTTCTGAATTTCTGGACTAGTTTGTTGGTTCTTCCCTTTGCCTGCATAATTTGGTTTGTTGCCGTTCGGTCTGTGCATGCTTTGTTTGAATTAGGTATTGTGATTTTTCCTCTTTTGTTTCATCGAAATTTTCAGTATCCGCCGAAATTACCTTATAGTCTTGACAGGAGTAGTTAGAATTTTGTCCCCCCTTAGAGTTTTATTTGGAGTTTTAGGATACATGACCTTTTAAAGCATGTCCGTAAAGACAATCCAAAATTTTCCTGGTTGTTTATAGTTGGTTGGTTCGGATGAGGAGTTGGCGTTTGTCATCTTGCGATTTAAGACCGTTTCCACCTATGTGAAAGTTAGGTGATATGATTTATACTTTAACTGCCGTCAGTATCAATGGTGATGCCATATGGGAATCCGAATTCCAGAACAAAATTCCATAATAAGTCAAAATATGCTAATACTTTACTGACAAATGCTGAGCAATATGGTCGTTCTTTTGCTGGGAAAAAGCAGAATTTTTGGCCCAAGTTGCAATATAGGATGGTATTCATGTTCTTCTCTTAATTGCAGACTTTAATGTGTCATTCTGTAATCTATATATGGATATTCATTCAACCGAAACTAAAGAGGATGCACGGTTGCTGCCACTTGTTGATAAAGAGCTGGTTGATGTTATCATTCATTTATCATCCAAGCAAACCAACTATATTTTATCTGCTATTGAGCATGCTCTGTATTGAAAACTCTATTGAAAATTGTGTCCACTGACTTGCGACTTTTTTTTCCAGGTTATGTCTTTAGGGTACACTTTGAGGTTGAAAAAGAAGATAACACTTTTTAGTGGTAAAAATTAATTGTGTCTAGAACATGGAAGAACATCTCTGTCCTTTTTGAGAGTCTTAAGGCTAACACTCCATATCAGACACTGTTCCCAATCGAGCTAATATGACGAATTTCCGTCAAGATAAGTTTGTGAGGTTAGTTCCTTGAAGTTTGTGTACCTTTTTTGTGTTTATTAGTTCCTGTTTCAATATTGTGATCTTAAATAATAGTTTTGAATTTTGTTTCTTTATGGATTTTCAGTTCTTCTGTATTCAGTGTTGTAGTATTGATCTTGATAATTAGGTCGTGGTTATGGAAGATAAACAATAGTTGTACTGCTTAGTGGAGTAAAGAATTTGTCTTTAGCCTTATTACTAGTAGTGGTGATTTTGCAATGTGGACCTTTAAGATTTTTATTTCTATTAGGGAAATTTAAGTTGAAAACTAGAAATGAACTATCTTCATGTTCCATGGTATCATTTGAAATTGTTCTTTAACGTGTCCAAACTTCATCAAACAAGTTCTCCTGGCATACTAACTGGCAATATTATATATAGCTATTCAGACATAATCCCAGTACTCTTCTGCATGTTTGTTGTAGGATCAGATATCCTTCCTCTTAAACAGTTGCTTTACAATCTGCTTCAAAATTGGAAAGCTACCTCATTTTTTTAATTCTTTTGGATAAATTTTAAAAATAGTTATTACTTTCAAAACATGTTAGTTCTAGTTTAAAGTACATTATAATGTAAGTGTTCAAGGGGCCAGATGTCCAACCTTAAACACTATTAGCTATTACAATAAATAAATAGGTGAATTACCTTTAACTGCCAAAATTCTAATGTTTAGAAACTAAGGTTTAAGATATACTGAAACCCAGACGTACTTGATCAAGTAAGAAGTCAAGCCAAGTCATGGATGGACACCTCATTTTCTGTGGGATTCATGAGTTGACATGTACCCAGCAAATAAATGGGAAAACTCATCAGGGAAGTCTTTAGAATCAGTGGTTATTTGGTTTAAGCACATTATTGAATTACCTTTGAGTTGGCATTACCAAGCAATGGATCTTTATAACTGCATGTTCACATGTATAGGAGCAGCTATGCATATTTCTTGTTTGTAGGATTCACCCTGTAGAAGACTTCCCTAATGTCTTTGGAAGATGATGAACAGATTTAAGGGGGGAGAGGAATTGGATAATGAAGTGAAAGGAGCTTAAAATAATGAACGGAGGACAGAATCTGAGGAGAAAAAGAGAAGTATGGATTATGGAAGAGATAGTGGCTGTTATCAGTTTGACAGTTATTGGTTGGTTGCTGCTGCTTCCAGAGTTTCAAGGGTTGAGGAAGGAAGATTTTGGTGCTGATTTCTGGAACTCTCTGAATGCATAAAAGAATTGCTGATGTTCTGTTTTATCTTGAAATATTTGTTTTGTTTTGAAGTGAGGTTGTAATGATCTCTTGTTTTTCTAGTGGTGGTGACATCTGGTCACCTAGTTATGTTTTTAATGTTTTCCTTTTAGCAATCAATTATTTTCTTTATTTATCTTAAAAAAAAATATGAGAGCTTGGAGAAGGAAGAGACACAAATAGATGAAACCTTTGGATTGGATTGGAAGTTAGACTTGGAAAATAATTATCAAGAAGGAAGCCAGGTTTAGAAAGGAATTATGCCTTTTCTTTTTTATGAGGAGAAGTTTTTGCTTTTATGATATTTGCTAATTAGAAGAGAAGGATAGACAATGAGACATAGGAGTCAAAGAACAGATGGGATCATGGGTCTTGGTTCAGTATATCCAATACAAGTGGTTGACCATGAGGAAGAGGTAGGAAGGGAAATTCTTAGATTGGAGGGGAAGGGGATGCCACAATGGTGAAATGAGTGTAGGGAAGGGTAGTGATAGTGGGCTTTCTAAGTGTTGAGAGTTATATTGTATTTGGGTATATTTGTAATATTTGTAATATTGTGGGGACCTATTTGTATTTGTGGGAGAAAAAGGGGCTTCTATGTAATTCTGATGTATTTCGGTCTTGTGTTTATTTAAGCAAGTGGTTGTGTGAGATTAGGGTTTGAAGAAGAGTGAATGGGGAAGAGAGTAAGAGTGTGTGTGAGAGAGAGAATTGTATCTCTTTTTCTCATAGTGAATATGTTTCCTCTCCTCCCGTGGACGTAGGCTACCAAGCCGAACCACATTAAACCTTGGTGTTTCTCTATTTTTTCTTCTTGTTTCCTCATTGAGTTTCTATTCTATTTTATGTTGGTTGACATGATATTAGATCTATTTTATGTTGTTTAACATGGTATCGGAATGGGTGTTCCGATTGTTGTGAAGGTGTTCTGGTTGTTGTGAAGGTGTTCCGGTTGTTATGAAGGTGTTCTAGTTGCTGTAAAGGTGTTCTGGTTGCTGTGAAGGTGTTCCATTGCTGCTATTTCATATTCAGTTGAGGTAGTAGTCGACTACTACGGAATCTCTTCGTGTAGTAGTGGACTACTAGCCTCAGGATGCAGTATTTTGTGAGTTGAAAAAGGGGCTTTGATGCCTCAATTTGTGATTGTTTGTGAGTTGGTTGAAAACGGGATTTGATGCCTTAAGTTGTGGTTGCTTGTGAGTTGGTTGAAAAAGGGGCTTTGATGCCTCAAGTTGTGATTGTTTGTGAGTTGGTTGAAAAAGGGGTTTTCATGCCTTAAGTTGTGGTTGTTTGGAAAAGAGGTTGTGATGCCTCANGTGAGTTGGTTGAAAAAGGGGTTTTCATGCCTTAAGTTGTGGTTGTTTGGAAAAGAGGTTGTGATGCCTCAAGTTGTGATTGTTTGTGAGTTGGTCGAAAAAGAGGTTGTGATGCCTCAAGTTGTGGTTGTTTGGTGGTTGGTTGGAAAAGAGGCTGTGGTGCCTCAAGTTGTGGTTGTTTGTGAGTTGATGATGGTTTTGTGAGTTGAAAAAGGGGTTTTGATGCCTCAAGTTGTGGTTGTTTGGAAAAGGGGCTTTGATGCCTCAAGTTGTGGATGTTTGTGAGTTGGTAATGGTTTGTGGTGTGATGATAACTTTGTTGGTGAACGTGTGAAGCTCCTTGGTGTATCAGCGAACTGTTGTTTCAGGGCCTTCAACATCTCAAGGTTCATGGCTGCTGCTGCTTCAATAGTAAACCTATTTCCATGAAGGTTGCTTCAACATCCTTACTTGCAAACTCAAGCTGCTTTTCCCACCTTGAATTTGAGGGGGCGTGTTGGGAGTTATATTGTATTTGGGTGTATTTGTAATATTGTGGATACCTATATGTATTTGTGGGAGAAAAAGGGGCTTCAATGTAATTTTGATGTATTTTGGTCTTGTGCTTATTTAAGCAAGTGGTTGTGTGAGATTAAGGTTTGAGGAAGAGAGTAAGAGAGAGAGAGAGAGAGAGGGAGAGAGAGGGAGAGAGAGAGTTGTATCTCTTGTTCTCATAGTGGATGTGTTTCCTCTCCTCCCGTGGATGTAGGCTACCAAGCTGAACCACGTTAAACCTTGGTGTTTCTCTATTTCTTCTTCTTGTTTCCTTCTTGAGTTGCTATTCTATTTTATGTTGGTTGACATGGTATCAAAGCTATTTTAACTAAGAAAGTTCTTAATTGCTAAATTAGGACTTGAAGGATATCCACAAAGGGGAAATAGGTGTAAGAAGTTTAAAACAAGGGATGCCTCTAAGGTTCAGTTTTTGGAAGACAATTGTGTAGCTTTGCAAGACTTTTTTTCTCTTTGGCCCATGGCTCTACAAATATATCAAACTAGGTTGGGACTTGGAAGGATAAGTGATGAATCTATTCCATGCAAGATACTTCATTTATTTAGTCTCCTATCTTCCACCAGCCTCTCCTAAGCAGAGTGGTTGATGAATGTTTGCTTTTTTCTCCGAAAAATTGGAACTTGTACCAACTTTACTGGGTCAATGTGATGGATCAGTGAGAAAGAGGGCTCTAAAGGCAAATTTTCTATAAGATCTTTCCATATTTTTGATAAATGGTAATTTTATTGTAAACTGTAAGATCTTTCAATATTTCTCTTGCTACTGATAGAGGCTCATCAGAATCCACTACTGCTGGATGAATTTGGGAAAAACAACCTTTTTTTGTGCTTTGTATTTCTTGACAAGGTTAATACTAGGGTCTGTCATACTTCACCTATTTCTTTGATGCTCTTAGGAATTTCTATATATGTGAATGTTTTGGTTCTATTTTTAATTGCCATCGGGCTCCTTCTTTGATCAAAGATGTGGTTTCCTTTGTTCTTTTTTGTCTTTAGGTTTTGCATCTGTTCTAATAAGGCTAATTGAAACAGCTTAGGTTTCCAAGCTTAAAATGAGAATCAGGAAATACAAAGATCAAGGAGGTGTTTAGATAGTTCTCCCAGCACAAAGAGTTATATTTTATTAAGAGTGAGCAGTAAAATGTATATAATTACAAAAAGTGTTTTCAGATGCGTATGGGGTGTATTCTTCATGGTGTGTACCTCAATGCCAGGCATCCTCAAAAAGCCTTGATGCACACTGTTGAGGTATTGCAATCATGTGAGGTATATGCTGCATGGATTGAAGCCTATGCTTCAACACTAAAGCATATGGACCACCTATCTAACCCTATTTACAAAAAAAAAAAAGAATTATTAGATGGACTGTATAGGCATATAGCTTGGGCCTTGGGGCACTTTGTGCAGGTGTTTCAAACAGAGGAGTTGGCATTTATTGGGGTGCTTCATGATGATGGAGGATGGTGTGTGTTGCTGGATGTTGGGTTTAGGAGATGTGGTTGGAAGGGGTTTTTCTTGTTTTCTAATTGTTTAGGTGGTTTTTATAGCACAAGGGGAGGGGTTGATCACTTGGTTGGGGTATTGTTTGTATTTCATGTTTTATTTTGTTTTGTTAGGGGTAAAGCAAGCTCAAAGAGGTTAGGAATCTGGGTTCCTCTGGCATTTGGGGGGGGGGTTGTTAGTGATAAAGATAGTCAAATATTGTTGCTTTGTATTGTTTTTTGAAGAGTAGAAAGAAAAATTCATTAAAATAAAAACTCAATACAAACATCAGAGGATGTTGTGGCAACACACAAAAACACTATCCAAACGCAACACAATTACATCAAACTAAAAAGGAAAATAAAAAACCACCCTCCAAATCTCTTCCTGAAAAAATAATCTTCTTCCTAAAACTTCAGACCCCAAACTCATGAAGCGATGCATGAAGCCCTTTGCTAGCTTGCCCACATCTTAATCTTCTTCTTCAAACACTTCTTCCTGCTCATCTCCTTCCTCGTCCCATGCCTCTTCTCCTTCCCCTACTGGGTCCTTCTTTAGACCCTCCTCCCTCTTTCTCCTCTTTCAAAATCTCCAAAAGCCCATCTAGCAAATTCTTCACCGCCCCAAAAGGACATATCTAAACTCTTGCCATTTCCGACATATGTTGCAATTAAATCCTCAATCTCCACCGATCCTTCCTTTTCTTCCTTGCTATCTAAAATGGACTAATCGGAATTCTTCTCCTCCACTCCTCCCCCTCCTTTTCGTGAGCCTCTGGCTCATTAATTAGCTCTAACTTTTTGTCAGATGCAACTAACACATGGCTCATTGCTCCATCTAACACTTGAGTCTTGAAATCTTTTTCAACTATCTCCTTAATCAAACCTCTGGACTTTGTTCCTTTTTTCTTTCAAACTGTCTTGAATTTGTTTGTTGGACCAGCCCCTCTTTCAATCTAGAGAACACTTTAGTAACATGCACTAAATGAAATTTATTTGCAACTCAGATTTTCTTCAACACCTCCGGCTCACCCCCAATACCATTTGAATTTGCAAATCTCCTTTTCCGACTCAAATTGACTCCCAATCTCTCAACAACCACTTCAGACCTTGGTAAGTCCTCACATATACAAGTGACTGTAAATTTTATTGCATATAATGTGCCTAACACCCCAGATATAGGCTGGTGGGTAATCAACTATCCTTCATAAATTATACATTAGATTTCAACCCAAAACAGCTGTTCCCTGTTAACCCTTTGTTTGGCTAGTCCATCTGCTGATCTCCATACCCAATGGAAAGTTGACCCTATTTCCTGTGCCAGGGGTTTAATTTCCTTCATGCTAGTGGTCTACCACCACCTTTAGATCTCTCTCAACCAAGATACCCATTGACCAACTTTCCGAAGCTTATTTACCGGTAAATGAATGGGGCTTGATTCAACCCTGACAAGGATGCCTGCATTTCAACTTTATGATATATATTTATCTGAATCGATATTGTTGTTGTTATATGGTGCAAAAAAAAAAAAGAAAATATTTATTCAGTCTCACTATTAGCAAATCTTGACATTGAGTCTCAAAAATATATCATAAATGTACTCAGTGGCATTTTGTTTATCTGAAGCAACGGGATAAACCATTTGATGGGCCTGATTTGGGGCTCATTTAGATACTTTTTCTATCAGTGATAATCTGGCTAAAATTGTTTGGAAGGGATAATTCTACGCACCTGTGCAGAGAACATTTTTCTTGAACTTGATCACATTATTTCACTCCAATTGATGCAGTAATGCATTCTTGGGGTCATGCAATTGGATTTACATCTGGGTAGGTGTTGTAGGAGGGTCAGAGTTCCATATTTGCTTGTGTCCTACCTGCTATTAAAAATTTTTATCTGGTGATTTGGTGGTACAAGTATTCAATTACTTAAAGTAACAATCTAGATAGTTTCTCCATGTTGAATTCTGACTACTTATTTATTTGTCTATCTTTGATTCAGGTTTCAGGATTGGAGTTCCGAGAGATCCTTAAGTTCTGATCAGCAATTTTCCTCAAGAGATGAATTTCATTCAGGAAAGATAAGAAGAGCAATAAGCTCAGTTTCAGAAAGGATCCAAAGAAGTTTTGAATGGGGTTCTGTAGGGATTAGAAGTATTGGGAAATCATTGAGATTCAGCTCACTAACTGATTCATTGATAAAAGAACCAGGATCTAGGAAAAAAATTCTTGATCCACAGGGATCGTTTCTTCAGAAATGGAACAAAATATTCGCATTGTCATGTGTTATTGCAGTCTCCTTGGATCCTTTATTCTTTTATATCCCGGTGATCAATAGCAAAAAGAAGTGTCTTGGTTTAGATAGTAATATGGAGATCACAGCTAGTGTCCTGCGATCATTCACTGATATCTTCTATATACTTCATATCATCTTTCAATTTCGTACTGCTTTTATTGCTCCATATTCTCGAGTATTCGGAAGGGGTGTTTTGGTTGAAGATCCATGGAAGATAGCTAAGCGATACTTATCATCCTATTTCCTAATTGACATTCTAGCAGTTCTTCCACTGCCACAGGTATAGATTTCCTTTGACAGCCATTGTATAGTGACATATTGTATGATTATATGTAATCATGATAAGAGCTATGCCTAACTGAATCATTTTTTTCCCTCTTATGGGTGCTCTTGTGTCTGTCTGGATAGAAGGAAATACTTTTTGCCCTAGCCTTTTTTTGGTAGATGGAGACTGGTATTCTATGCAATGTTTCCATCCTTATGGTTTTTCTTATGTCTGGGCCATTCCATGTTTCTTTGTTTGTCAAGTAGTGTGGATCATTAGGAACCAGGGTTTATGATGTTTAAAAGGCAAACGTGAGGCAGTTGGTCCCAAAGATGCAACGTGCCTTCCTCAAAGAAAAAATTGGAAAATTTGACAAAGGATAAGATAATATAAAAAAGAAATTAATATTGAACTGCTAATGTTAATATTTGGTCCTATGTATTATAAATCCATTTTGCTATACTTTCCTGCTCTTTTTTGTTATTTTGATGTATACTCTATCTTTTACAGTTTTACTAAAAGAAGGTTTTTCATAGATTTCTAACATTTTGAAATTTCAGAATTCCTTGATCTTCACCTTAGACCTAAATCCTAATATAACCCCTGATCGATGGTGGAAATAACGGTGAGAATCGAAATATTCTTTGTACATAGAAAGTGATTAGATAAGGGAAAATGTATCCTTAAGTAGCATTTTCCCCCACCAAAGGTCTGCCCATAGATTTGTTCTATTACCCATAGATGTTCAAAGCTTCCCTATGAATGCATATTCTAGTACTTTTAGTGCATTTTTTGAGTTATCAGAATAACTGTTCTGTAACCTGTGTAGCCAAAATTTGCAGTCTTTTTCATAACCTATCTTTTCATTGTAATCAGATGATTGAATTTATGTGAGGTGATAATTGAATTTAAGGTTGACTATCTACTCTGTTCAGATGGTAATTTTGGTTGTCAAAACTCGTCGAATAAGTGGCTCAAAGGCATTGCATACAAAGGAGTTGCTGAAGTTTGTTGTCCTACTCCAATATGTGCCAAGGCTGATTCGAGTATATCCACTGTATAAAGAAGTCACGAGAACTTCCGGCATAATTACTGAAACGGCATGGGCTGGAGCTGCTTTCAATCTCTTTCTTTACATGCTTGCTAGTCATGTAAGTTTGTTTATCCACGTGACATTAAAATTTATTATCTATACAAAAATTAAAAGTAGAAAATTATCCACATGATGTTTTTAACATTTTATAGAACTTATTAGTCCTTCATAGGATTTTCTAATGGGTATGACTCCATAAGATGTTTTTTTTTTTTTTTTTTTTTGTGGCTGGGCGCATTGACTTCAATGTCCTTCAGTGTTTTCTTTTTCTAATCATTAACAGATCAGGGGAAATTTTACTGAATTGTAATACAGGGGAAATATTTTTTTTTTGGAAAAGGTAAGGTAATTTTATTCAAATCAAAAGCACATACAAGCTGGATTCAGACTCAGAATGGCAGCCTGAAAACCACAGCAGTTACAATCTCCACCGGGAATTAGAGCAAGGGAAAGAAGACAATTTCAGACTTTTGAATTCCTTAGATACAGACACCCAAGATATCAGCTTGCCCACAGCTCTCTGAATGATATCTTCAGGACTTTTAGCTTTATTACAGAAAATTCTACTATTCCTCTCAGAGCAAATGGACCATAAGACAGCAGCAGGAATAGTCCTCCACATCAGACTCCCTTTCTTGCTTAGGCCTTTCACATTCCAACAACAGAGAAGCTCCTTAACTGATCTAGGCATTACCCAACTGAAATCCAAGGCTTTGAGAAAGTGTCCCCAAATCTGAGAGGAAAATGGACAACGAACACACAAATGATCTGTTGATTCCGCTTGGTGCCCACAAAGACTACAGGAAAGATCCATAACATGGATGCCCCACCTCACCAGATTAACTCTGGAAAGACATTTGTCAAGGGCCATCGTCCAAATCAGAAAGTTGGCTTTTGATGGACTTATAGAATTCCAGATCTGTGAAGCAGGAAAATCAGTGAGACCCAAGTAACGGATTTTAGAGGCAAGGGATTTCACAGTAAATTCACCATCCGAATTCCATTTCCAACACCATTTGTCTTCCGATTGCAGATCAATCTTCTGCTTTTGAAGAAGAGCCATCAGATCCACAGTCTCTTCTAATTCCCAACCAAATAGATCCCTCCTAAAGATGGGAGTCCAAGTAAGAGACCCACCAGTCGAACAACAATACTCAACTACAGAAGCTTCTTGGTTAGAAGCACACTGAAAAAGTAGAGGAAGAGACTCAGCTAGAGTCCCATCCACACACCAAGGATCCTTCCAAAACTTTGTTCTATCCCCTTCACCAATCTTGACTGAAATCCCTTCCATGAAAACAGAGAAATTTTTCATGATAGCTTTCCAAGGGGAACTACCCCAACTTTGGGGAGGATCCCTAGATCTCCAGTTGCCCCACTCCACCCCATATTTATCAGCTATGAGGGATCTCCACCAGGCCTCCCTTTCAGCTGAGAACCTCCAAATCCACTTGCTAAGGAGGGCAGAATTAAGACTCTTCAATTTCCTAATGCCTAAACCACCTTCGGCCTTAGGAAGACATACTTGGTCCCAAAACTTACAAGGTGAACTTTTTTCTCCTCATCCCAACCCCTCCAAAGGAAACATCTCTGAATCTGCTCCAATCTTTTAGCAACTTTGTTAGGGATGGGGAAGAGAGAAAGGAAGTAAGTAGGTAGATTGGAAAGTGTGCTTTTTATCAGAATAACCCTACCCCCAAATGAGAGATATCTAGACTTCCAGGCAGCCAATTTCCTTTCCATTCTTTCAATAACTGGATCCCAAATCGAGGAGGCAAGACAATTTTCCCCCAAGGGCAGTCCCAAATATTTCACCGGGAGGACTGATAAAAAAAAATAAATCACTGGGAGGAATTCAGTCCGACAAGCCAGAACCTCTGCACAATAAACTATGTTAGATACATGACCCACTGGAATGATTTGACTTTTGTTCCAGTTGACTTTCAGCCCGGAGATCACCTCAAACAATGATAGTATCCCAAGGACAATATCTAACTGGGAGGGAGAAGCATCCATAAAGCATAAAGTATCATATGCAAATTGGAGAATATTGATCTTTTCCCCTTCAGGAGAGAATGCAAAGCCTTCCCAATCACTAGATTCAGCAGCCTTTTTACAAAACAAAGTGAGAATTTCCATAACACAGATAAAGAGCACGGGGGATAAGGGATCACCTTGTCTTAATCCCCTAGAACTGTCAAAAAACCCTGCTGACTGACCATTAATCAAAACTGAAAATTTGGGTGTGGATACAGAAACTTTTATCCAGTTTCTCCATTTCTGCCCAAATTTCATATGCTGCAACACCAAATCAATACACCTCCAATTGACATGATCATAGGCTTTCTCAATGTCCAATTTGCAAATCAAACCAGGGGTACCCTCTTTTCTTCTTGAGTGAATCAGCTCATTAGCAATAAGAATAGAATCAAGCATCTGCCTCCCCAAAGCAAAAGCACTTTGATTGTATGAAATAACATTCCCTAACACCCCTTTCATTCTCTCGGCTAATACTTTAGCTAAGATCTTGTAGAAACTGTGCAAGAGGTTGATTGGCCTGAACTCTTTAACATTAACCGCCCCTTCAATTTTTGGAATGAGGGTGATAAAGGTAGTATTTAAACTTCTTTGAAAGGAAGCATTATCATAGAACACCTGAAATACATTCAAAATATCTTGCTTCACAAAATCCCAGCATTTGACATAAAAGAGGTTGGTAAGACCATCCGGCCCTGGTGACTTATCAGCCACCAACATAGTAATGGCAGCTTTAATTTCCTCCTCCGTAAAGCGTCTCTCAACGAAAGAAGTCTGATCTTCACTCAACTGTTTAAAAGGAAGGTCTCTAGGAAAGGGTCTGATTGGCTAAATCTCTCTATAAAGGTTTTTATAGAAGTTAGTTGCCACTACCTTCATATTTGCATCAGATTCCCCCAATCTACCTTCCCACTCCAACTTACTAATTGAAGAAACCCTTGCTCTGGCATTTTCCATTCTATGAAAAAAGTGAGTGTTTTTATCCCCCTCTTTTAACTAGGCCACTTTAGCTCTTTGCCTCCACTTAATTTCTTCTTCTACTGCCAATTTATCATACTTTATTTTTGCTTGAGACCTCTTCATTCTGCTTTCCTCAGATAAAGGACCTATCTCTTCTGTTGAATCAATTTCCTTAGTGAGACTCAACAAAGCTCTCTTTTCAGTTTCTGAATTCAAATTATTCTCCACTTTCCAGATTTTCAACCTCTTTTTAATGGCACCGAGTTTGTTTTCCAAAGCATACACACAAAGTTCTCTTGAGAAGCTTCTCCCTATTCTTTTGTGCTCATCTAGGGTTTCAGTCCTGGAAATTTTCATTATTCTCTCCGAGTGGATTCCACCTACTGCCAAAGAGAGAAAAGAACATATCCTGTACACCAGAGTATGGATTTTGCTTCTCTGTACATGACTTCCAATTTTCTTTTGAAACAATTCTGCAACTTCTCTAGGTTCATGTTTCATTATTATTTCTACTTATGCAAGTCACAGACCCTGATGACCTTATCTTGGTAGCAGTAGTGAGAATACATCCTTCCCATGGTTACGGTATAGGCACCTAACAAAATCTTAATGTGAGTGGTGTATCTTTTTTTGACAAGTAATGTGAGTGGTGTATCTTGAAAAAATTGTTACCATTGATTACTTGATCTCTTTCCAGAGGGATGTTCAGAACCAATACTTTCCAATTTCCATGTGATATTGAATTGGTGAAATGGGAAAACAGAGAATGGTTATGTGGAGACGTATTAGGGCTGCAGTTTGTTGGACTGTTTGGGAGGAGAGAAATTCACAGATCTTTTCAGAAAAGGAGAGAAGCTTGGAAGCAATATTGGAGGTCATCCATATTAGGGTGATACATTGGTTGAAAGCTTTGGCCTTGTTTGCAGAATTCTCAGTTGATGAGTTGCTAAGAAACTGGAAGGAGATCACAGAATTAGCTTCAGCTAAGAAGGCCTCAAGCTCTTGCTGGATTCCTCCACCTCACGGCTTTACTAAACTGAATTTTGATGGCAGCAGTATGGGTAATCCAGGGCCATCTGGAATAAGGGGAGCAATAAGAGATGAAAAAGGGAATCTATTAGCTATGTTTTCTGGACCAATAGGGGTGGGAGATTCCTTGAGGGCTGAGATACTAGCAACTCTTGAAGGGGCACAAAGGGTCAAGGACATGAATACTAATAAGTTGATCATAGAAGGAGATTCTGAAGTTGTGGTGAACTGGCTAAAAGAGGATAACTCTAGGCTTTGGAATTACAGCAATGAAAAGAGAAAATTTAAATGGCTGACTAAGGACATTGAAATTCAATGCACATGGGTAAAGAGAAGTGCAAACTCATTGGCAGATGGTTTAGCTAGGCAAGGGGTGAACAGAAACTCTAATTTTTGGGCTGTGTTGTAATTGCTTTATTTTTGTGTTCAATGGTTGTACTTGGGAGTTAAGATTGTTTACCTCCCCTGCTTTGTAATTTTTCATAATCTTACTTCAATTCACAGTTATTGATCAAAAAAAGAAAGAAAGAAAGAAATGAGAAAACAGAGAAGGGAGGGGAAAAAGGCTGGTTGAATTTGCTTGGTGTTACATGTTGCTTGTCTAGATTAGGCTGCAGTGGTATTAGTCTTGTAATCCTGTTGATGGAGTATTGTTGGTTGGTTTATGGCATAGTCTTAGTATGATGTGGATCCTTTTTTTTTGCTAATGAACTTATTTATTATTAAAGAAAGGTGATCGAAAAAATAGTTGGTGTTTATTGTCTGTTGGTTAGTGACAGGATTCGACAAAAAAGGTTATAAAGAAAGAAACGTTTGTGTTGTTGGGATGTGGCTTGGATTCCAAGCCACAACCTACCTATGGTTGGAAATGAGTAAATTGTTGGGTCTATTCTTCTTGGGTGGAGAGGATTTTGCTAGGAAAGCATTTACAGAAGTGGAAGAAAATCCCGGGGGGCATTTGAAGGATAGCAAGATGGATCTTTCGAGTTCCGGTGTTTCTGTTAATGGGGCTGAGAGGGGGGGGGGAGGACG